ACGTCATCCAATTCTACGCGCCTACCAATGACTACAATGAAGACGCTAAAGATCAATTCTACGATAGACTGCAGTCAATCGTCGAAAAGTGCCCAACAAAAGACCTGACTATTCTGATGGGAGACCTAAATGCCAAGGTTGGAATCGACAACACCGGAAATGAAGAGATCATGGGACGACACGGACTGGGAGAAAGGAACGAAAATGGTGAGAGATTTGCAAATCTATGTGCCTTCAATAAACTGGTCATAGGCGGGACTATATTCCCACATAAACGCATACACAAAACCACATGGACTTCACCGGATCACAGCACACAGAACCAAATCGACCATATCTACATCAATAAAAAGTTCGGGAGGACGATGGAGGACGTGAGAACAAAGAGAGGAGCTGATATAGCATCAGATCATCACTTGCTGGTCGACAAGATGAAATTGAAACTCAAGAGGCACTGGACAACCGGAAGAACAATATCACAAAAATTTAATACGGCTCTTCTTCGGGATACTGACAAACTCAATAAATTCAAGATAACCCTCAGCAATAAGTTCCAAGCCTTTCATGATCTACTCAATGGAGAAGGAACTACTATGGAGAGCAACTGGAAAGAGATAAAAGAGGCAATCACTTCAACATGTCATGAGGTTCTGGGCCAAAAGAAGCACCATCACAAGGATTGGATCACGGTCAATACACTGGATAAGATTCAAGAAAGGAGGAACAAGAAAGCAGCAATCAATACCAGTCGAACAAGAGCAGAAAAAGTCAAGGCACAGGCTGAATACACAGAAGTAAACAAGCAAGTGAAAAGGAGCATCAGAACTGACAAACGTAAATATGTGGAAGATTTAGCAATGACGGCGGAAAAGGCTACCAGTAAAGGAAACATGAGACAATTGTATGACACAACAAAGAAACTCTCTGGAAATCACCGTAAACCAGAACGACCAGTGAAAAGCAAGGAAGGCAAGATAATCACCAACATTGAAGAACAACGAAACAGATGGGTAGAACACTTCAAAGAACTCTTGAATCGACCAGCCCCACTTAACCCACCCAACATCGAAGCAGCACTCACGGACCTCTCAATTGATGTTGGCCCACCAACAATTGAAGAGATCAGCATGGCTATCAGACAAATCAAGAGTGGCAAAGCAGCAGGACTAGACAGTATTCCAGCAGAGGCACAGAAAGCAGACGTAGCGGTAACTTCAACGATACTCCACATTCTCTTCAGAAAGATCTGGGATGAGGAACAGGTACCAAAAGACTGGAAAGAAGGACTTCTGGTCAAAATTCCAAAGACCGGCAATCCCAGCAACTGTGACAACTACATGGGAATCTCTCTTCTTTCAATACCAGGAAAAGTCTTCAACAGGCTATTGTTAAACAGGATGAAGGACTCCGTAGACGCCCAACTTCGAGACCAACAGGCAGGATTCCGTAAGGATAGATCGTGCACAGACCAAATCGCAACTCTACGGATCATTGTGGAACAATCAATTGAATGGAATTCATCACTCTATATCAACTTCATCGACTACGAAAAAGCATTTGATAGCGTGGACAGAACAACCCTATGGAAGCTTCTTCGACACTACGGCGTGCCTCAGAAGATAGTCAATATCATACAGAATTCCTATGATGGATTAAACTGCAAAATCGTTCATGGAGGACAGTTGACAAAGTCGTTCGAAGTAAAGACCGGTGTCAGGCAACGTTGCTTACTCCCACTCTTTCTCTTTCTCCTGATGATCGACTGGATCATGAAGACATCAACATCTGAAGGGAAGCACGGGATACAGTGGATAGCTAGGATGCAATTGGATGATCTAGACTTTGCAGATGATCTGGCTCTTCTATCGCATACACAACAACAAATGCAGGAGAAGACAACCAGTGTAGCTGCAGCCTCAGCAGCAATAGGTCTCAATATACACAAAGGGAAAAGCAAGATTCTTCGATACAACACAACATGTACCAATCCAATCACAATTGACGGAGAAGCTTTGGAAGATGTAAAAACCTTTACATATTTGGGCAGCATCATTGATGGACATGGTGGATCTGATGCAGATGTGAAGGCACGGATCGGCAAAGCAAGAGCAGCATATTTACAACTGAAGAACATCTGCAACTCAAAACAATTGGCAACCAACACCAAAGTCAGAATTTTCAATACAAATGTCAAAACAGTTCTACTGTATGGGGCGGAAACCTGAAAAACTACGAAATCCATCATCCAGAAGATACAGGTGTTTATTAACAGTTGTCTACGCAAAATACTTCAGATCCGCTGGCTGGACACTATTAGCAACAACCTACTGTGGGAGAGAACAAATCAGATCCCAGTGGAGGAAGAAATCAGGAAGAAACGCTGGAAGTGGATAGGACACACATTGAGGAAAGCACCGAACTGCGTCACAAGACAAGCCCTCACATGGAATCATCAAGGCCGAAGGAGGAGAGGAAGACCAAAGAATACATTACGCCGAGAAATGGAGATAGATATGAGAAAAATGAACAAGAATTGGATGGAACTAGAAAAGAAGGCCCAGGACAGAGTGGGTTGGAGAATGCTGGTCGGCGGCCTATGCTCCATTGGGAGTAACAGGCGTAAGTAAGTAAGTAATTATACCAGTGACTGTTTTACTGTGCTCGTTTGTTTAACTGTGCTAATGACAGCCATTATGCTTACTCTCCCGTTGACTTTGAACTTGTACGAATTCGGTTACGCTCAGTAACCACGCTTGTACTCCTTTGGCACGATCTCGGTATTCTTTCGATACCACGAGATCGCCAACAAATACATCTCGACTACAGCCATCATCTGCCTTCTGATTTTTGGCCTACCGGAATCTTATTGGTCTATTGGCACGTAGTCTTGTAGCGGTGTTCATAGTCAAGCTCAAATGGACACCACGCCGCACACTCATTAGTATTAGCATTAACAACTGAAATCGGAACAGACTCACCTTATTTCTAGGATTGTGAACGATCACCATGCCTGTTGAATACTGAAACTACTACCTAGAATATGAACCATAGACTATCCTCCCCCACGAAATAATGTCGGATCTTCATATCCCCAGGTTATGAATAATGTGGCTTCATTTAAAACATCTTTCTCAATATGACTAGAGTAAACGTTGGAAGTGAATTTATGATAAAGACAAACAACAGTTGATATGGAATTATCTGAATAGTAATCAAACTCTAACTCATTTAATACGCGTGCTTCGCATCGAACGAGTTTCTCACAAGAAACAAACGCATCATGAGGACAAATAATATTTGATATGACACCGAGATTTGATTCTTCTGAAATAGTTTCCTCAAATTTATTAAGAATGTCATTGCAGAGTAAAGCATCATTAGAAAAATCAGCATTAATCAAAACTACATCAGTTTTTTTATCATCATTAGGTTCATTCGAAATATTTTCACCAGATTTGCAAGAAATTTCACCAGAAATATGTGAATCATTAGGAAAAATCTTATCTGGTACAATAACATGGGAAATCTGATAGGTTGTTTCATTAGAAATTGTTGTCTCGCAAGAATCTTGAGTTTCATTTAACTCTGAACTGCTACATGACTCTAAATAGTCTTTTGAAATCGTCGATAAAGATAAATGATCATTATAAATATTTAAATTAATAGAATCAGAATCACAAGACTTAATATTAGTTACCGCAAGATGAACAGTAGTATTACAAGCTGACTGAATATGTCCGACATCACCACATTTAAAGCACTTACAATTACGAAATTTACATGAATTAAAAGGGTGGAACTTTCCACAAGAAAAACATTGACTAAACTTGTGCCCATCTTCGTGAACTGCACAACCTTGAGTATGCACTGGGATGGGGTGACGTAATATAGTGGAATTTTTTAAACCCTCATAAATTATTTTACGAAATTTCCCTTTATCGCATTTAAAATTTGTATACTTTGCATAGTCTAGAAGTAGTTCCTTGAGAGTTGTATAAGGAAGAGAAATGGACTTTTCCGGTGAAGCCAAAATTTTTAATAAGCCATACGCTTCTTTTCCAATGTATGTGAGAAAATGTGCCACAATATTAATATTCTCATCATCTTTCTTGGTCATGCTCCAGATTTCAAAACTTTCCAAATAGTCCTCAAAAGCTTCAGAAGTTGAATGAATATCTAACTGTTCCATCGCAGGCCCCATCGCTACGCCAATATGATAATTAGAAGTAGTTGAATTATAGTACGAACTTAGAATCCCAGGGATAACGCAATTGGATCAAGAAGTACTACACAAGCACTAACGAATGTACTGTATTTAGAATTCGAAATCAAACATTTAACAAGTACAAAGCAATCATTAGTTCATTCAAGCACCACAGGTATTACGGGTAAAAGCGTTGTCTAACTCTGAACCTCTGTGTCATCTTTAAGATAATGACAATCCATTAATATAGGACACATGTTTATTGCAACGCAACAGCTGCCAAAGTTTTTCGAGTAGTGTGATCAGTTAGTCGACTTTTCACATTCTTTGATGTTAAAATGTTTTGAATTTTACTTGACATGTAGTGATACCTCGGCTAGAATTTTCCATCCAAGTAGATGGTTCATGTCTTGCAAATTATTCATAAGGACTCAAAAGTTGTCAAAGCCTGGGGACTTCCATGCGGCTAAAATGGTTACATAATTTCCCTTATTTTTTCGAGAAAACCTATATGAGCTCAAGTTTGTTTCTGTATTTAAAGTAATAACCTGTTCTTTAACATTTTCAACACTTGCTTTTTGTAGACTGATCACTCATCCGAGATCATATCATAAGGTCCGAAATCGGAGATCGAATAAATTCAGAGTCAGAATTAATTTTCCTCGCCGGACAGAGATAAAAGAAAGCATTACCAAAACAAACTGCGTCAGCACATTACCAAAGTTTTTCAGTCATAACCTGGATTTTTACTGAAAAACAAGCTGTAGAGACCTAATATCCTTATTATTGAGGATGGAAAACAACCGTTTAAACTAACGTGTGCCCGCGCTGCATTCAATTGCAACAAGGTAGGATGGAAGTTACTATGTTCTGAATTATTGATTGATTGTTTCGCTGGGTCGATGCCTTTATTTTAGGCAGCTGCTGTTAGTTAAAAGCTAATAGAACTGGAAGTTTGTACGGATCTCCTCTGGGGATTTACTACAACGACAATCTTAGTCAACTGATCGAGTTGCTCATTACTTCTTTGCCGGTTTAACTATCTGGTTTTAGTTCCAACCTTAAAGTTGTATAAGTTTGAGGCCTGTGTTACTTTTGACTGCTATTGATTGCTTTCGTTATTAAGTGTAGGTGGATTGTGCGCGCTTATTGTGTCGTCGGCGAATCTTTAATATTGTTCTATTATCCAGCTATCACTCATGCTATTCCCCATGCTCCTCTAGTACACAAAGTACCTTCTAGCTAGATGCGAACCAATACACTGTTCCGAGACTTAAGATTGAGGCCTTTTCAGATTTAGGTGTAATTCCATCTGATCTTGCCGGAATTCGGATCAGGCTTTTTTTGTTGATGAGACTGTAATTTATGGACGACCTTTGAGTGACACTAAAGTTGCCTTGAGAATATCCACCTACTAACTAGGACCAGGTAGGGGTTACAAACCAGCGCAAAGAATTAGAATTACGACATAGTTGACGATTAGGCATTAGATTTAGGGTTTTCATCACGAACTGACATCAGATAAGATACCAGAACTCGATTTTGCCAAATAAATGGTTGAATTTCGTGCCAAAATCAGTTATCATACATATATTTTGATAGTTCGTAAATTATAGTCTCGCCTTTTTTTCAGTTATGGATCGTTAACTACAAAATGGTTTCAGCAAAACACATTCTGGACTTCGTTTAGGAAATTGCCATTATCAATTCTTATCACACGGTCTTCCGAAAAAAAAAGTTAATTGTTTTGGCAGAACATAGCACTAACATCACTTGAAAGATTGCACTAAACCACATTCTGCGATCCACTCATCTTAATTTGTGGCAATATAATAGGTCTACTTGATTACACCAAAGAGAGTGTTTTCGACGTTATATCTCATAAACGATTAATTTAAGTGCGTTGGGCATCATTCCAAGTCCACGCTCAGGATAATATAACTGTCCTATAGCTAATGCTATTTTCACTGTTTCTTCTTTTTGTAGTCTGCACAAAATTAGTTTTACTACTAACTAAATATGTCTAATAATTGAGCAGATTTCATCTACCGTGGAACACTTAAAGTTATAATGTTTTTTATTCTCGCCTTTCAGTTTCTATCTGTCATCAAATGCTTTTGCTGGACAAAGTGAATGGAATCTGCACATGTATGTTGCAGTTTAACATATTAGACATCGGTGTAAACTTTTTGATGTACTCTTTGTAAGTTCAGTTCCTCGCTAAAAGCTTTGTGATCGAGAAAGACGAATAAAGGGGAAAGTTGGAGAAAAAGAGCTAATAGGAAGTCAATATGCCTGTTTTCCCTAAAACTCTCGGTTATCCAGCTGGGTAGTTAGATAAACCGGACCTAAGTCTTAAACCCACCTCTGCTTATTATCAATGATATTCAAGAGGCTACGTTATGTCATCATCTCCACCAAACAGATTTGGATTTTGCAAATTTTTTGCTATATTGGTCCCTGAAATTTCAGGTAAAGAAAGTGGAGAGCCCTATTGACCGTCAATTCAGATGACAGGTTGCCATATACTCTTGACCAGTAGAATTGGAAACGCCGATATACTTTTTACGCCTTTAAATGACAACGACCACTATAAAATATGTTGACCAGAAAAGGCGAATGAAGTTGTAATGTTGAGAGCGTCGGTTTGCTTACACCCAGAAACTTGACTTAGGGTGGATATTTGATCAGCTCACTCATGTCTAAAACCAGTTTAGTTTTCCCGCGGTCCACTGTCCACAGCCTCTAGTTTAGCATTAGGTTGTTTTCGAATACAATATTGGTAAGGTTGATTTCTCTGTAGCTTTCATAAGAGGACTTTTGTCGTTCCTGTAAGCAATCAGTACTCTTGAGAAAGTTATTTCACGAATCTAGGTTCTCTTCTCGAGCCATATCTGTGCCTAGTCTTTTCTGATAACATTGGTACTGCTACTAGTGCTACTCTGGCACCTCGTCCTGACGTGTGGCAACTCAAAGCCATACACATGTGCCAAGTTGTGCGTTACGTTTGGTTGACTGGGTGTTCGCGACTAGCCTGATATAATTATCTACAGCTACCAGGTTACTGGTACAGTACCTCAGTCAGTGTAACTGTTGGCACTAAACGTCCATCCATAAAAGAGTTTGAAACTAGTCCATCAAGGTTAGGTCTCACTGCTGAGAGTCTAATATCAACCTCACCGCAGCCCTTGATGAAAATGGGTAGCTGGAAATTACCTGTCCCTCAAAATATCCTGTCTTTCCGGTAGTTTGGTCTGAAAACTCATGTTTTTCAAACATAGTTCTACTGATAGATGTTATTTTTAATATTTTATTCGAACACAAATATTGGTACAAGGGGCTAGTTGAGGAAGATACAACCACTTTCATGAAGAAAGTAAAAGAATGTTACATCAGGATCTCCACTGGCTTCTATTCTGAGCCATATCTGATAGCGTCTCTAGCCACTGTGTTGCACCATCTCTAAGACCCCAGCCAGGGAGTCGTGAAGGACCAACAGAAGCCAGCCCTTTGCAGCTTTCTTTCATATGACGACACCATGTCATACACTGACCACCTCTCCGCTTTCTGCAACCAGTCCCAGCATCGGTAAATAATGCACGACGTGGAATTCTCTGGGATGACATTCGTAGAACATGTCCAAGCCACCGAAGTCAATGTTTAAAGATGATGACACCTATTGGATTATCATCTCTGCACCCGAACACATGATGCCGAACCTCTGCATTACTAACATGGTGTTGCCACTGGGTGTCAGCAATTCTCCGTAGACAACGATGATCAAACACAGAGAGTCATCTAACATCCTCAACTCGGAGAGGCCAGGTTTCACAAGCTTAGAGCAGAATTGCTCTCATCGACGCGTTGTAGATCCGACCTTTTACAGCCAGACTAACATCACGAAGGCGCCAAAGATGGCCCAGATTGGCATAAGCCGCTCTGGCTTTCACCATACGTGCATTGATCTCATCACTGATAGATGACTTTAATTAAAGTTTCTAATTCTCCAACATAGGGTGTGAACCCCTAAGATGATCACCGGTTTGGGCACCCGTCACACAAATCGTAGATTTATTCAGAGCATATCTATTTAGTGCCTCCTTGTACCAATGTTTATGTGTTTAAATAAATAAATAATGCTTCCAAATAGTTGTGTAAGGTCGCCCATCGTGATTACCTTTTTTGTCACCCTTATTTTGGCTACCTGTCATTGCCCCATGTAGACTTCTTGTTAGTCTACCTTTAAGTTTCGTTGATGTGTGGAGGTCACTTGTATGAGTTGCCAAGGTGTTATCAACTTGGTAGAAGCTTCTTAACCCAATCGGATTTTATTAACCGTTTCGTTTAAGTTGTTAACAAATGTTACTGCTATTTTTATAAAAATTGATAGTGTCCTTGTGTTAAGCATCCTCTTTGTAGTCAACTTTAATGGTTTGCTTGCTTTGCCGTAAATACTTTCTTTACATTTATATCCTTTACCTGATATCAATTCTTGGTGTTATTATCATAAAACCTATGAAATCCGTTGCTTAGTGAAAACTACAGGTATAGTGTTTCTTTTTGTACTGTAGGTTATAAGTAAGTATTGGCAGAGCCCCCAAATGCCTTGGTATAGCCAAGAGTGGGGTAGACCCTCCCTTACTCTCGAAATGCTCTCACATGGACACGCGTATACAGCCTCTGTCAGGGATGTCCTACTCACTGCCTTCTCGTGGCGGGAGCGTTGTTCACAAAAACGAGAGGACGAAAAGCGAGTGTCCGGCGCTTTAACCGGATCCCAAACCAATGGTGCACATGGGCTCCAGTATCCTGAAGGAACAAATGGCGTATGAACCAATCGTTGGTCACCGGCTACCATGAGACTGCATCTCCTTACGATGCTCCACTGCCTTGTGGGTCAGACCTTTAGGTCAAAGACTCGGGGTATAGCCCCCTAAGAAAACCACCTGCTTCGGTTTGGGTACCCGGGCAGTATCACAGCCCACACACAAATTAAATGAGATTTGTGTGGCGCATGTATATTTGGTGCCTCCTTGTACCAGTATCTATGTGTTAAAATAAAATAATAAAAATAATGTATTGGCAGAAGCACATGGACCGAAGTTTATTGCCTACAGATTTACGAGCTTAAGGTTATCACTCATTTAACCTTCCATTATTCTAGTAAAGGCAGTTTTACGCTGAAACAGTAGACATCGTTAGAATTCGTGAAAGTTGTCATGTATCACAACCATAACTTCGTACATTTTTACTCTGTAGTTATCACAAACTCAGTTCTTAACGAACCGGATAAATCATATTCTCAAGTCCGGACGTCATTCTCATTGTATCTGTGTGGACTGTTTACAATGAACTGTATCCTCATTTGAGTACTTATAGATGGTTTTACATTTGACTCAATATAGTTTGTATGTATTATAAATGATTTCATTAGTTCAGTGGTTAGGTTACCTAACGGTTTGATAAGACCTGAAGATAACCTGAGTTGATTTTTATAGAACTGATGAATCGGGCTAGATTCTTATTTAGCCTGTTTCATAGTGTGGATTTGTGCATTGATCTATCTGTCAATTTTTTTCACTTTTCAAGGTTCAAGATATATAATGTTTTGGGAATGGCTGAAAGTTTGAGAAACTTGCCTATTTACAAGAAAGATAGTTTTACTCAGTTCGTCCCTCATTCTCGAAGTACTGAATCCCGAATTACTTATGTTTGTACCTCCAACCGTAATCGTTCGTGGGTCATTAATGGAGGTCGGCATATGTTTTATGATTTAAGTCTTGATAGCAAAAGGGAACAGTACATTTCTTCTCAGACGGGGAAAGATGATGTTGAGTGTCCTCCAAATAAAATCCCTCGTCTAAGTGCTTTATAATTTATGCCGTATTAAAACTTTTTGTTTTGTAGATTATTTATTGTATTTTATCTACTTCAGACATCTGTAAATATTTTTGAAACTCAAATATTACTTCTAAAGTTTTTTCTTTACTCCTGTTCGAATGGGTAACTTGACAGACTTAATGTATTTACTGAAATAACTTACTGAAGCTATCCTCTATTCTGTAATACAACCTGTGGTGAGCTTAATAAATCCATTTTAAATGGAGTTTGTTTTTTATGACTTTGGCAGTTAACCTGTCTTAGAGCTGGACATTTAATTCATTAAAATCGTTAGCCAATTCTCCTACCATAATCATTAGATTAGTCACATTTTTGCTCTCAACCCAGGTACAAGCAATTTATATATTAAATAAATGTCGAGGTACTCATGTGTTTAAATGTAAATCTCAGTTCACCGTCGAATAGTCATAACTTGAGAAGTATGTACATTGTTATATCTGTATCGTGTGTAGTAGACCACTTCAGATAATAAACTCAATGCCAAAATTAGGGATAGGATGCTATCTAAGATCGATAAAACTCTAAGGCGTTTCTACTCATCCCAAAAGGTTTTCTCCCTCATTGTAGTTACTTCTTTTTGATTATTAACCAAGTTAAATATTTTATATTGAAATTCTGATAACCGACAGACTTATGTTCATGAAAGTCAGCCGTGCAACCAACTAGCTGAGTCGATTGGTTTAACCACAGTCAGTGGTTATAACTTGTTCTTTTAATGTTACTAATATTTCAGTTGAAATATACATTCCGTTTATAGCGTCTCTGTCTTTCTTTCTCGAAGTTGCAACACTAACTTAATTTGATACCTAATTTTCTCAGTCATGTGATCTAACACTACTAGTTAACCTAACAATTCATTTCTCCAAATCCCTGTTTACTCATTATGCTCAACTACAACGCCGTCTAGTGTTCATTTTGCTGACTCGATAATGGTTATTAGTGCATAGTAAACAATGCAAGTGTACCAAATGTCTAATATACATAAATATATCTAGTAGCTCTGCTGGTTTATGATTACTGAAAGGAAATTGTGTAATCGAGCATATCACTATCATGTCATTAATCTTCCTTTCGAACGCTAAAATGCTAGTGCCTTCGGTCAGTCCTGATCGCTTTTCCTCGATTTCAGTTATTCAATATGTATTTAATTAGAGATTCATAGAGCTTAGTACATACATTTCCCAGTAAATATAAGCTTTAATTCCGTACAATGCTATCGGACTATTTGAAATGACTTCAAGTAATGAAACCAAACTCGTTAACAGAAGCCTTGATTTCTTATCATTAGTTGCTTCTTAAGTTATTGTGGTATTTACAATCCATTTACCTTACAATAAACATTCAGTTTACACCACTAGAAAAATTCGAAAACAAATCTGCATACTTCTTTTGGCAGAATGATAGTCGACCGGAAATGTGATTGAAGATGGTTAATTCAAGCCGTTAAGAAAGTTTCGGGGACCTGTTGGACAGGATGGCTTGTAATTATTAAAGCGAAAAGTTGGCGATGGGATTAATGAATCAAGAAGCGACTCAATTCTAACTCCGTTTGTTAAAGTGTCACAGCTGAACTAGAATTTCGTCGTAAGTCCCGCTGACGACAATAATTTGTGGAACACAGTAGCGAACATGCAAGAACTTACATCCTTTATAAGACTAAACAGAATCGCCGTGGGACTTGTCAGAATAATTGTCATAAAAACTAATTGAAGATGAATAATCACAAAACTGAATTGGATAACGTAACTGGCGATGTCTAATGCCGCAGGTGTTCACTTTGTGCACACTATTCAGAAGTTTATGTGTACAACGAAGAAATCTGGATACCTCTGACAAGCTTTATTTTTAAAATTCCACTTTAATCGGATGGCAATTCATTATTTAGTCATCGAATCAATATATATATATATATATATATATATATATATATATATATATATATTGCCCTATAAGAACAGGTAGTCTAACAGAGGCATATTCAGTTGAACGGTCGGAGCAAACACGAGATAGGGATGAAAGTTTGGAGCGAAGTGAGACTCCGTTTTTTTTCAGGTGACTGTTGGTATCGTTTGAGTAAATCATGCAGCGGAGGACAAAACAGATTGTTTACAAATATATATTGTCATGTGTATGGGATGGGATACAAAGAATTCCTTTCGGGTTATCAATAAACGGAGGTAGACTGGGAAACAATCTCAGCGTTGGTACAGACTTTCTCTTAATGGAGTATCGTTTTTAAAGTCTAGATGTAGGATATCCTTTTTAGGGAAGTCCAATGATTTACTAAGATGTTTTGAACTTAAAACTTTTGTCAAAATATAAATTTTGAATTTATCGTGTTATGCATCCCGCTCTAGTAATAACATCATTTTACCTCATTTTGATGACGAGCTTAATTTATTTGTTAATTTCCATAATGATTCATCCAGCCTCGTAAAAGAGTAACGTCTTACATTTTTGTTATTGAGAAATATTATTGATTTTTATTGGAATAACGGTATGTGTTTGCAATTGTATAGCTTTGAAAATAAAGTTACAGGAGGGTCTTTCTTGTTAAACCACTTGTGATACGGATTTATGTTTTAGAGTTTTCCATTTATCTAATAAAAAGCTTTCTTCAGGCAAAAAGAGAAAATCATCGGAAGGACTTCTCTTCATGAGTGGGTTTAATAAAAACTGGTTAGAATACTTGGTAGAATTGATTGTAAAGTACGAGACTTGAATGCAGTCAAAAATACGTACTGTTAGTCAATTATAATACAAAGTTAATACGTATTTGATGAAAACAACTTAATCATGTTTGTTTAGAATACAGAAAAGCGAGATATTATGTTTTATGCTATTGGTGTTTTAGCGAATAGTTGTTCGAATGCATTATGTATTTCTGGCAACATTTGCGTAGTTATCATAGAACGACCGTATTTAGCGTATGCCAATTGTGAACATTTTCGTGTAAGAGAACAAGCTGCAAATGCAGCTCCAATAGTAGCTGTAAACAGTAGATTCCTAGAAAATTTGAATAATGGAAAAAGAAACAAAAGTTATGTGTATATAATCATAAACAATGTAGCATCTAGTACAAATACCATTTCACAACAACACAGCAAGAAATAGTATTAACTAGACCCCGTTACTTATATATAGAGTAAAGTAAGTTTACTGCTGTATTATCAATTTAGGTGGTAAATTATGTAGAATCCATTATGTGTGTACAAATTCAATTTATCGTGCTAAAAATTAGCACTAGGAAGAAAGAAGGAATGGGAAATGAGAACAATTGTTCCAATAATATTGGAGAAATGGAGGGAAACATTACATAAAATAAGAAGTGAAGGTTAATACGATGTTTGAAATTTTAATGAACAAATTCGTATGTGATACTAAGACTAGTCTTATGCTACTCCAGTTCAAGTTTTTAACCACTGATCACGGATGTCTCATATGCCCCAATTCTGAAGTACCTTGGATGTTTTCGTTTGACCATCCTAATAACTTATACATTCAGACCTTACTTAAATCTGGAGTATTCACGTTCACATTTAAACTTGCAATAGATAAAAAATTATGAAGGAAAAAATAAGCCATCCTCTTTTGTGTATAGAGTTTGGTTCATAGTGTCATTCAGTTGATTATAGAATTAATATTCTGACTTCTGTTGCACTTACGTGGTTGTACATTTTTGGACAGACAATACATCACTAACATATCATTGTTATTCTATCAATAAACCTATAGTTCTCATAACAAGTTGTGACCTGCACATGTACTTGTGTGTATGCTTTGTCTGTTTATCGTTTACCTCATTTCTTATTTAGTTGGATTATATCAGCTCATTTGAAAATTCATACTCCGATTTGGCTCACAACCAAATCTAGTTATTTTACATTTACAGTTTTTCTGAGGATATTAATATATATATATATATATATATATATATATATCCTAATAACATTTCGTACTTTAATTTTTGATTCTGCGTTGTATGAATGTGATAATCTATAGAATGTATCCGGAACTTTTCAAGGATACATTAAATTACGGATTCAGATATGCCGCTAATAATACTTAGTTACTTTTGGGTTGCAATCCGCCTGGACATATGCGCAAAAAATGGTAAGACAATATCTTACTTTGATTTAGCATAAGCACACACACTATTATAATTATGAATCTAGTCTGTTACTGTTTTGGTTTTAGAGCTCCGTAAAACACTAACTCTGGAGAGGTTTAACAGTAATCTCATGGGTTCCCAAGATAGAAACACATGATACATCCTTGACATCGGTAGATTAACAGGAAATCCGAAGCATTTTACTATAATCTTAGAAATAAACAGCAATACTTTTCGGAATTTTTCCCCAAACTCCTTATTGTCGGATTTGCAAGTGTTGTAACTATGGTTCACGAAACGTTTATTAGCGAGTCACAACAGTGTACATATATCATCCACTAAATCCTTAATAATTAAAGATTCCATGTTGATATAGTTTTAATCAACTAGATTCTTTCTTTTTATTAAACTTACTCGACTGAATTAGGTTTTTATACTATTGAGAAATGGGTCAACTTGAATTGTCAAAACATTCAATCAAATTCCTAATTATTCTGCGCTTTTATATACACACTGACATAGTTTAAGGTCAGCTCCGTTTCGTTTTGTACAAATGGGTAGAAATATTAACCCACTACACCATAAATATGTCCTACATACTAGAATACAAGCAGGTAATAAGCATGTGCGCCCATAATAAACATAAAAACAACACAGAGACGCTTTCATTTCCATGTTTCACATGAGGAATGTAAATTGAATAAATTTGCAATTAAATACGTCATATACTTAATATTTTGTTGACTGCTAAAAAGCAATTGTAACTTACTGATTGTTATCTTTAAGTTGGTGAAACCAGTAGTTGAAGACTGACATTGTACCAGATAGAACATCGCCCTGTCCACCGCATCTGCGGGGTGATCCTTGATCCACACACTGTATAGCTTTTATTAAATAAAATCAAACATTAACATAGAATGATGGGTATAATTATAGTGATGAAACTAAAGAGGTTGAAAGCAAATTTCTAAGTGAGTTCAATATTAATAGGCATGTGTCTATGAGTGAATGTAGTAATAGGATAGCACTTTACAAACAGGTCATTTTATTAAAGCTTAGCAATTCTCGAACATTTACTACACATACTTTTGTTGCAATATAATAACCTAAAGAAAAGAATGGTAACATTGAAGCACTAGCAATCTGATATGAAGCGAGTCAGATATTTCTGGATAGACAAATACACTATGTAATATAATTATAAACAAATTTTATAGGGGTTATAATTCAAACTAATTGAAAGAGCAAAACATTCGCAATATACGACTAATTCCTTGATCAATATTTTAACATAACATATTATGAGACACTTATAGATATTTTGAACTTTTGTGATTTCAGTCGATAAAAAACTTATGGTAAAATGTAATGAATGTTGCTGACCGACACTTTCCGTTTTTAGCGCTATATTTTATCTTTCTAAATAATAATAAAATTTTATTAGTCGACAAATTATTAAAAATATGGACTTAAAAGTTTATTTATTTATTTGAACACATAAATATTGGTACAAGAGGGCACCAAATATATATGCGCCACACTCGTGAATAAAATTTTCAGTAAATATCGTCATTTTCATTTTATTTGTGTGGGCTGTGATAATGGGCGGGTACCCAAACCGAAGCAGGTGGTTTTCTTAGGGGGCCACACTCCGAGCCTTCGACTTAAAGGTCTGACCCACAAGGCAGTGGAGCATCGTAAGGAGATGCAGTCTCATGGTAGTCGGTGACCAACGATTGGTTCATACGCCATTTGTTCCCACAGGATACCATTGGTTTGGGATCCGGTTATAGCGCCGGACATTCGCTTTTCGTCCTCTCGACTCCGTGAACAACAATCCCGCCACGAGAAGGCAGTGAGTAGGACTTCCCTGACAAAGGCTGTATACGCGTGGCCGTGTGAGAGCATTTCGAGAGTAAGGGAGGGTCTACCCCACTCTCGACAATACCAGGGCATTTGGGGGCAAAAGTTAATCCATAAAAGTGATTTATGTAAGCCAAAATCGATGACAACATACTCAAATACGGAGCACATTGTCATTAATTATACTTTTCAGTATAGGGTTGTGGAGATTGTTGAGTTTTGATTAAGATAATGAACCGATCAGTTAGATCACCATTGAAGATCTAAAAGCACTGGACGGTCAATTCGTTCCACTATGGGACCCCGCGTGGCGAAATTTGACCCCAGGACCTATCGGTCTAGCGCGCGTATCCTTAATCTCCAGACCACTGGGCCAGGGCATCCAACGATGTTAATGTCCAACTTCAACCAGTTCGCGATATTACGCGACTGCCCCCCCCATTGTCTTCGATAAGTAACTGCCTCACACCAGACATGGATGAACCCTACTGGTCACGGATTTTGTCAGAAAACCACTGAAAGTCCTGGGTGGCCGTTTCGTCTTAATGTGTGGCTCCTTAGCAATGGGCACCCACAACCCCACATGTGACAGTGGAACTCAGGACGTTCGTTCGTGCACAAGAACACTTGATCTTTAGACCGCTTCTTTGTCTCCAAATGCCCTGGTATGGCTGAAGGTGGGGAGAGTTAGCCACGAGTGTACAGCTACTGTTAGGGAGGTTCTACTCACTGCCTTCTCGCAGCGGGGGTTTTGTTCATGTCTAGCGCTTTAACCAAACTGGTGGACACAGAGGGTCCACCTAGGGAAGTTGGAAAATTCTGACTCCAAACCAACGATGCACATGGGTTTCAGAATTCTGAGGAAACAAATGGTGTGTGAACCAACCGTTGGTCACTAACTACCATGGGACTGCATTTCCTAACGTTGCTCCACTGCCTTGTGGATCAGACCTTTAAGTCGAAGGCTCCGGGCGCGGACTTTTAAGAGAACCACCTGCTTCTGAATAGACAGTATCATAGCCCACACACAGATCAAGTGACTTGTGTGGCACATATGTATTTGGTGGCCCTTTGTACCAATATTTGTCTTCCACTTGCGGTCGTGGGTGCCCATTGCTAAGGAGCCGCACATTAAGATGAAACGGCCACCCAGTACTTTCAGGTTTTCAGTAGTTGTCTAACTGAGTTCAGTTTATGATTCCAATGAAATCTTACTTGTCTTGAGTTACTTGGAACTATGTTAACCAATGAAAAAATTATAGTTCGACAAGCCCTTTTAACATAAGGACTACACCACTTATTGAGTAAGAGTTAATAATCCCGTCTAGATATGAGTCTTTGTAGTTAGATCGAGATTTCACCTAAATAATTTCGTGGTTTAAAATTGATGGCAGAAGACCTACGTTGATTAAGATGGACTGAAAAGTGGGGATCTAGGATTTTATTGCTCAGAAAAATTTGGAAATGTGAAGAAATGATATTAAGAGAATGGATAGTAGTTACCATTAGACCACAATAAAATCAAAGGGATCTTTTAGGACAATATGACGTAAATGAAATGGTCTATTTGCTACATCTTTGCACGTTGCAGAAATTACCATGATGAAATAAACACGTGCAAACCAAGATGTGTGAAGTTTTTATTATGGGATGGTATATACAATATAACATTATCTTTTTGCGTGTTTAAAGGTGACAGGATAAATAAGTCAGTCCTTGAAAATTTACGACTGCACGAAGCGTTCAGTTAATACTATACAGAGTCAGTCAGTAACAACGTGCAACTTCGTACGTGCGTACATGAATTTGAGTTGCCATATAACATTAGCACAGAGATGCAGTTATCGATTCAAACCTCGTAGTGGTAGAGGTAGTGGAAGCATAAGTAGTAATCGGAAACATTAGGGTTTGATGATGTTATTCAAAGAGTATAATCCAGTGGAATGAATTTGGAAATGAAATAAGGGACATGAAGAATTCAGGAGATTAGAATTTGGGAGAAAACAAAGAGTGGATGCACCTTTGCCATTGCAAACGATTTTGAGCCATGTCATTCAAGATCTCTAACCATCGGTTGCTATCGTCTCGCGGACCCCAACCAGGTAGTCTACACCTACCAACATGACTCAGTCCACTTGTCAGTGACTTCATGGATTTGTGCCATGTTTTGGTCTGGCCGCCCCTAGCTTTCTTCCAACCTACTCCTACACCATAAGACATGGCACGTCGGGGCAGTCGATGCTCGGGTATACGTAACACATGTCCCAGCCATCTCAGCTGATTAAGTTTCACTACTTCATCAATTGATGTGCCATCCTTACCTAGTACCAGTTTCCTAACAATTGCATTACTTACCCGGTGGTCCCAGGATATACGAGCAATGTTTCGAAGACATCTATGGTCGAATACTAGTAACCTACGAATATCCTCTACTCTTACTGGCCATGTTTCACTGTCGTAAAGTAGGACGGAAGGAACTGCTGCGCAGTAAACACGTCCTTTGGTTGATAGACAGATATATCGCCTACACCACAAATGACGCAAGTTGGCAAAAGGTAGTCGAGCCTTCTGTATTCGTGCTGAGACTCCGTCGCACACCAGACCATAAGGGCAGATGAGACTTCCCAGATAAGTGAAGCGGTCGACACACTCAACTACTTCACTCCCTATCACTACTTCGGGTGTTGATGCACCCCAATCCTGAAGCAACATTTTGCATTTCGAGGGAGACAATCGCATCCCGAACATGCCTGCATTGTTGCTTAGAGTGGTCAGCAGACTCTGCATTTTGTCAGTGTTTTCATAAAGAGATGCATTATTATCAATAGAGACATAAGTAATAGAAATTAATACGCTTACAGAGGATTTACAGTAATATATTGAACGCAATTTAGTAGAAAAGCAATATATAATCAGGAAAATTACTTGTTTGACCATTCGATATAATATCTGTAGAACCTTTATGGACAATGGTGACACCAAGTTTTTCAGCAAGAGATCTTGTCGCATCTTTGGTATCATATGGTTGAGATGAAAACTGAATAAATGCGTTGAGTATATGATTGACATAATTACCACAGAATAATATAGTCTTGAAAACTCAACAGTATTTGGAGTAAGAATAGTTTTATCATAACCTTCTATGAGTGATGGATTTTGAGTAACGATATACAAAGCATCAGCATCAATGACAATAGGCTTGTTAGAATGTTTGCAATAATCTATCAGCTACAAAGTATTATTTAAAAGTAAATGCTAATAAAAAGAACTTTCGTAGTATTTTCAACGTTTTCCGTTAGTCCCAGACCAGGTCCAAATGTAATTGCATGAACTCTGTCCATACATTTTGTCGCTTCTGCTAGAACTCCATCCCTAGAAATTAGGTAGCAATATTGACTGTTTATACAGAGAATTACAGAACAGGATGAACGATCAATTCGGGACTATATGACTTGATAACAGGAGAGGAAGCAGCAGAACATACTACATGAACTAAATCAGCACCCTAGAATTTATATTATTTGTGTATGTTAACCTACACAATGCAAAGCACTGATAGCGGAAAAGTATGGTGCTCCAGTATATCTGCTAACTATCAACAATACATGCATGAACTGACTCTTTTGATCCTCCCACTATAGCAATTCTTCCCATTTGACCTTTATGAAGACCATGTGTTAATTGAGGAATCATATTAATTATATCGTCAATCATAATACAGTAGTGTAGCCACAAACACCGATTACACCACTGAAAGTAGGAACATTTGTAAAGAAAATCAAATAGGGTTTTTAAGCCAATTACTAAACAATGTTGAACTTAATCGCTTGATAGTGACTTATTGTCCGAAGTGTTCTAGATTCATAGTAAAACTTTAACAGGCGAACTATAAACCTAAGTTGGTGTATCCAATAAAAGACTAGACAGTGATACTATAGTTTACGGACGACCATTGGGCGACGCCAGGATTAGTTTCGGTTTAGAAAGGACATGAGGCTCGATAGCCTGTGTTAGTTCTGGCAATTGTGGTCTCTCTGTCGACCCAAGTTTCTTTGGAAAGCATCGACAGATAAAGCTTCAATCACCTGTTGGAAGACGAATTCCATTCGTTGATTATTTGATAGGAAAGTTGATAATCATCTGACAAGTAATTTGTTCTGTTCTTGTGAGCTTTTTTAATGTCCTCGTGAATTCACTGATTTGGAAGACAATAAAAATAAGAGCTTATCAGATGCGAAGTTATCGACAAGTAATTTAAAAATTGTGATCAAGTCACCGCCAGTTCTTCTATATGATGATGGAAATAGGCTTAGTTTAGCCAGTCGAGCGTCAAATGGGAACATTGCTATTCTGGGAATCAGCTTAGTTGCGGTTGCTCGAATCTTTCACAATAGGTCACTGTTTCCTTTTAGGCAAAGGCTGGCCGCTTGTATGCAGTACTCGAGTTTTGGACGAACGAATTACGTATAAAAATTCAAAAAGTTTTCAGCATCGACATGGCTAAAGATTATTATTATTTTAACGCATAGGTATTGGTACACGGAGGCACCAAATACATATGCGCCACATAAATCTCAATTGGTTTGTGTGAGGGATGTGATACTGCCAGAGTGCCCAAACCGAAGCAGGTGGTTTTCTTAGGGGGCCACACTCCAAGTCTTCGACTTAAAGGTCTGACCCACAAGGCAGTGGAGCATCGTAAGGAGATGCAGTCTCATGGTAGCCGGTGACCAACGATTGGTTCATACGCCATTTGTTCCCGCAGGATACTGGAGCCCATGTGCACCATTGGTTTGGGATCCGGTTATAGCGCCGGACATTCGCTTTTCGTCCTCTCGACTCCGTGAACAACGCTCCCGCCACGAGAAGGCAGTGAGTAGGACATCCCTGACAGAGGCTGTATACGCGTGTCCATGTGAGAGCATTTCAAGAGGGAGGGCGGGCCCATCCCACTCTCGGCCATACCAGGGCATTTGGAGGCACTGTGTATGTATTTATACCTTAGTGACTAATATTTATTATAATGAACTTGTAAATATTTGTCGACAACCACCAAATTCTGAACCGCTCAAATGATTTCTCAAAGTCATTCTGAAGTTTCAAACCATGATCTTTACTTTTTAATAAGTACACCCATGGGTGTACTCCTAACTTCGTTAGATAGATTTAGCAACCCACTTGTCCCTCAAGTTTGTATCTGGATGACATTGGTGATCCTGAAATTTCTCTAACTCTGCTAAGTACTATATTGTTTATTCAATTCATAAAATATACGACAGAAGTACATCATATTGTCGACCTTCAGTCCATTAATCAGACCGACAGCCGCCAATTAATTTTGAGCAGAATTCAGAACACAAATGTTCAGTCTGAATAAAGCACTCAGTTTTTCCACGTAAAATGAGTTGAATAATGAATTCTGCATCTTTACTAGCGATATTAACAGTTGATAGCCCATTTAGCTGTGCTAGCAGAAAGAGAAATGCAACTAACGTAACGTAGCAATACAGTATAGCGCGAACAAATGGTTCAAATAGTTCAAATGGTTGCGGACGGAATAGAAGAAGCTTTCGCTTAACAGGCTTCCGTGTCTAGTAGCAGGGGATCACCAATACCTCCAGGCAAGAACCTAGGCATATTAACGATAAAAGAGAAAGAAAATGAATTGGTAAATCATAGTTGGATACTATCCTTAGTCCTTAAGAAGAGATCAAGTCGCCAACAATTCAAATGATTTCAGGTGGTTTCAAATGGTTCTGTACGGAATAGATAAGCTTCCGCCTAACGAGCTCCCATATCTAATGGTAGTGGATCACCTTTAGAATGTAATTACCCAAGTTGTATGCGAAGTCTGCAACATGTACTAGATGGGCTACTTTATACTTTTAAGTGTTAAAAGTTCATTGTTGTCGGCCCGAATTTGATGTCGGGAATGATCCTCTTGAAATGCCAGCTTATCATCTTGATTGAAACTTCTCGACAACATTTTTCGTCCTCAGCGAAAAGTAATGAATAGCAGGACACTTGTTGAGAAGGGTCATTTACATATAAATTGAGAAAAGATGTTCTAGTGCTGAACCTGAGGGAATCTACTAGGACATTTTGAAGCTTAAGAGAGATTACAGTTTACCCTGACCTCAAAAAGTCAATTATTTAGGTATGAAGTAAACTGACCAATCAACGGTGACTTGATACTTTACCTATCGAGCCTACTGATGAGGCATATACGACTGGCCCTATTAAAAGCTTTTTAGGGTCAAGGTATGTGTCACCAACCATCTCCTTATAACCAAAGATAGGTTGTCTATTTGTTCACCGCGGTCATCAGGTTGGCTATACAAGAGTGACTCTTCCTGCAACCGTGCTGTTGGAATGAAAATAAGTTTGTGGATAGTAATTGGTGACCTAAACCATCATATGGCGAAGACTCCATAACTTTTGACGGTATTGTGAGGAGTGCTACCGGACAATAGGTTGAAGGTCCTCTGCATCGAGGCCCTTTGAAAATCGATGTAATGTGAGCTAAATTCAAATTTTCTCGTATCGTGCCTCAGCTTAGTGAGTGATAATAACACACTAAACTATTTAGCAAACATTGAAGCAGCTCCTTTCATTATGACAGAGTCAATAACATCCGGACCTGGATAAATGTTCACATTTTGATGTTTCAGTATCTGATATTTCAAGTCTGAGCTCAGGCTCACTTCTGAGGGTCCTCCTGAGTTACAGGCGATGCTTGTCGTTGGCGTGGGTTTTTAGAGGCTGTTAAAATTTTGAAAATACTGTTCTGCCAGAAAGTCGGCAGCGTTAACGTCGTTTTTGGTTGGGACTTAATACTTGTGGAACTTCATTTTTGACTCGTCGAAGAGGGGCTTCATGACGAAATAAGTTTTTCGGATTGGAGACAAGTTTGTTGATTCGTTTTATCTGATGCTCAAACCTATTTTATTATCCTTATGCATTGGTTTCGTTGCTTGTCTGAATGACCTATATGTTCCGTCGTCACCGGTTTGTTTATACTCAACGACGGGCATTTGAAGGCTTGTTAAATGACATATTCAAATTGGGCAGATTTAATCATAATTCTCTCACCAGACTCTAAGATTAGACAGATATAACTACAGTAAAGAATAAAACGAATTCGACCAATTATTTGAATAACGATGCTGAATATGTTGTGTTTTGGGGAAAAGTAGTGAAAATCAACATCTTTAAACATTTTTGAGTAACCTGAAACGATAACAGGTGATGCTACACAAAACCAAAAATAACAGATTTCTGTTAATGCCACGTGGAAATTCCCGAAAGTTAATTTGTGAAATTTTTATTAAGCAACCTTTGCATTATAAATGAATTTGTCCAAACACACATGTATTTATCGCACGGCAAGAACTCAAAGACGCCGTGATTGCGCACACCACTAGGGATTGAGGCTTAGCAGCGACATATTTGAAATGTCTCACATCGTTAGGTTGTACATAGATTAGCCTAATTTAATCGTGTGTGTCTATAGGAGACTCGTATGTGTGGAATTATGGTCTACTATTATATTAGCACTGCTATAATAATAGACTTAATCCTAAAATTGTAGATTTGTTATGACGTAACTTCCTAATCTATAAGATCTTACGTGGAAGTCCCATCATCATCTACACCAACTCGCTGCGTCGTAACAATTACCAATACATGATATAGAACAATCTTGGGCTAGAGATGGAACAGTATATTTAATATGAACAAAAGATATAACGTAACATTTAGCAGGGACCACGCCTGCATGGCCGAGTCATGCCATACGATCAACTCCAATTTATTCAATTCATTGTTTCCGCAATATCCATCGTTGGGTTTTTCTCCGCGTTAAATGTTGAATATTTATTTTCCATATTGTCTCGTGTTAGGGCCCAATGCCACTATATATGTATAAAAAGACGTCGAATGATATATGACCTACTGTGAGTATGAAACAATATAACCAAATAGTGACAATCTAGTGCTAATTTAGAACTTTAACATGACACAATCAAGAAATCAATATTGAAGTACGAAGTATGACATTGTATTTTATCATTATGATAGGTTTAAAGATGTTACAAGTATTCGAAGTTTGACAACGCCCTAACCAGTATCACCGTTATAATCGATGTATGCCAACCCAGTCAAATCAAAATTCAGGAACGAGAGTTCGAAAATGTACTTGGAAAGCTATTAGTATGTAGAAAGGACGTTTGGTCTAAGCTGGTTGTAGTTGAAAGAGATGTATAGCACGACGTACCGACTCGTGATTGTGTTTGAGGGCTTAACCGAGCACTAATGTCAGCATCAGATGTCAAAGACCTACAGAGCTATTTATTTCGGAGATTTATTTACCACTGCAGATTGCTCTCACTCTAGTGGGGTAGTGATGACCCAAAGACGTAGCTAGTCAGAAGTTTAAACGTAATGAGCTTATCGTTGGTCAGCACTCTTGTGTTTACTTCCCACGTTCAGCAGGGTTTGGTCCACTTTCCTTACTATAAGAAGCCATGTGGTACAATGAGGAACAACTACAATGAAAATTTCAATTCTTCATAATCTTTCTCGGTTTTTCATCTTTTCCAGATGTCTTTGAAAAGAAGAAAATGATGTTTAAGTGCAGGTCAAAAAACACCCATATGTGAGTTAAAAAACAAAACGGGTGAAAAAAATAAACTAGTGTACGTGCGTTTTGATAACACGCAATAGAATATAAACAATTCTTGCACTGTGATGCCCTAATGAAAAAATATATACATGTACGCATGCATATGAGCATGTTAGCAAAAAGCTTTGTTTTCAGCTTTTTATACAATGACACAATAAATAACAAAATGAAGCAGAACGTTATGTTGTCGATGCAATTTTTGCAGGATGTTCACAAAAGTTCATAAACTCGAAAGGACAAGAAAATGCAACATTGATGAAATTGACGACAAGTAGCTGTCGGATCATTAGAGGTGCTAATCGCACTCTAAATAAGTTTCGAAACTTTGTCCCGGGTTTACCAATCGCTGTTAGAAGTGTCCTACAGACGTACACAGATGTTCAACTCAAGTTCACCAGCTGTGGTTTCCAATACCATATAGGACTGAAAACTAAGATATATTGAACTTTGGTTGAGGAATTTTGATTTTGTTACCTTAAACTTACATATTGATGTAAACCGATCGTCCATTTCGATATACTCTAGTAAACAGTTGTGACATTCAATAGGGTGTATCGTTGCAACTCAGGGCTATATAGCGTTAGTTTCAATAAATACATAGCTGCTAAACTAGTCACTGTAATCTGTGACGCACTTCCTCATTCTGATATTTAATACACAGGTTATTACAATGGAAAACAGGCTGTAATAAGCGTCTTTTAGTTGGTTGGCGACTTGACGGGAGGATGACTTCCGGATGATTAATATGTATTGTGATCTGGCGACAGTTTTTGTTAGAGAAACCAATCAATTTACGTTCAAGGCCATTCCAATTTCGAGACATTTGACACCAATGTGATTGCAACATTCCTTTTAGATCCAATGCACATGGTATATCTAGGTGTGATGAAGAGATCAAACAATCTATTAATAGACTTCTCGCACAAAAGGAGTAAATACATGAAGAAATCTGTAATTAGGGATATGAATAAGTTAATCTCAGGTTGTGTTGTAAGTATTCCTTTAGATTTTCAGAGTAAATATCGGACGTTAGACTTCATTTCTGTAAAGAGAGCAATAGAATGTTGATTGTTCATTATCTATTTGGGCCCCGTAATTCCTAGACATTGTTTACCAATATCG